ATTAAAAATATAAATCTTTTCAACATTCGTTGACCTCAGAATATTCCGATACTTTTTGATCTGACTTGCCTACTGCGCCGTGACTAAGGTTTGTGCGTCGAGGCTAAGGGACTACGGGTTTTTGGCTAAAGGATTACGGGTCGAGGCTAAAGGATTGTTGGTTTTGGCTAAAGCTTGATGGGAAAAGATGTAGTTCACCGGACCTATTTCTCCTCTGGTTCCTTTGCTGTCTAGACAAAAAATGCAGTTTTTTTAAATACGGTTTTCATCCCGTTAGTGAATGTTGAATGATTATATCGATTGGAATACTCATGAAGTTTGCTAGACCGTATGAACCACTTTTTACTTCAAAGGATTATGGTAATTCGCTAAAAACTTGGTCCACTTTGGAAAAATGAGGTGCTTTGTTGACTGAAATTAACCGTGGTGCAACCCGATATGAAAAACCAGTTCATATTTGAACAATCACGTGATATTTGTTGTGAATGCGTGCGTATTTGTGATTAGAGCAGTTACGCTAGATCAATCTGCAAGAAATATCTATGAACCAGAAAGGTAACCAAGATCAAAAGCGTACCATAGCATGGTAATAGTTCTGACACATGGTAGCAAATTGTCAAAGTACGAATGGACGAGGGGCGCATAAAAACGCCACAATTGATTCTATTGGTCATGTGACTGTGGTCAACATAATCTTGCCGATCGCTTGAGACATGTGCGCCGGCCGTTCACAGTCCGACGTATGTGCACCATTTTGTTCGAGAAAAATCAGTTGATCCAAAACAAACCCGGTCGTGACATCCGGACAAATCGCACGTAGCCCGGTCAAAATGAACAATTCGCCCGATCGATTTTTCTCTGTGACCCGTTTCTGATACAGATAATCGTATGCTTGCTCGAAGATTCTCTCGCCCATCTTTTCTATGCAGTACCTGTGCTCCCCGAGGGATAAAGAAGTGAGATAGGTGATTTGGGGAAGAATTCTTGATCAAATTGACAAAACAATGTCTCAACGACTATATCACACCTTTCATTAAATTGGATAAGCTAACACTTTCCGTTTCCTCTCAGTTAAAACCAATTTTGGGGTAACGAAGATGTCACTGTTGTTTCGTTTGAGTATTTTGAGAATATTGTACACTAACTTTTTGTGTAATAAGTACAATGAAATATGCATTGCGACAACTCTGATGCAGGTAGATCAACGAGTGTGTGGCGCTACCATGGACTCTTTGAGGGTTGATGTCTGTGGCGTATCGGAGACGCGAATCCAAGATCCTAGTACTGTAAGCCACTTAAGTGTACTGAGGTTCTTCCTCCGCACGTCAGTAGGCCAGCGGGCATTGTACTGAATAATACAACCGAAGTTGCACTACTCGATTGGATCCTGGTCAACAGTCACTTATGTGCGATGAAACTTCAAGAGTTTATCAACGTCTGTAAGGGAAGCAATACTTGACATGGTGTTTGTTCATCATTTCAGCGTATGCATCGACCAACTGCAGTTCGGACGCACAAAAGGACGAGGTTTATGATGAATTCACCGAACTCATTCGGTTGGGCTGAACCTCCGATATAGTTGTTCTCGCAGGCGATTTTAACGCTCAAGTTGGAAAACTGAGCGCATCGGAAGCTTGCCTAGGCGGTCATTGTGCTCTGCCTTGCTAGCGAACGGATAATGGAGATCGACTTCTTCAGTTCTGCGCAGATCATCATCTGTTCCCATCCAACACCAATTTCCGACACAGCTCTCAACGGCCAGCAACGTGGCGCTCAAATTCAACTGGCACGCTAACTCAGACCTATCAGTAAGCAGTAAGCTACCGTTGGCGTGGCTCAGTACAAAATTACAGATCCTATCGGACGACCTGCGTTAAATCTGATCACTCATTAGTTTCGATGCAGTTCACTCTCCAACTCACTGATCTCCGAAAACCCCACCAAACTCGATTGGCAGATCATCGTTTATCTGACCCAGCCTTTCGTGCCCGTTTTGAATCAGAGCTAAACGCACAACGGGGTGGTAGTGTAGATGAACAGTGGGATCAGATTAGATGAGCAATGCACTCCGCAGTGAGGGTTGCTTGTGGATTTGAAGCAATAACCTTCCCAAGGCATTGGATATCCGATCAGTCAATAGCACTGATGGAGAACAATTGGCAAATCCCGACCGACCGGGATCAAGGCAGGGGTAGGTGGCATCCGCAACGTCAACTCAAGAAGATCCTCAATAAAGACCGTGAGAACTGGTGGATGACGGTAACTGGTGAAATGCAAGTAGCAGCTGTATCAGGGAATAGTCTGTTGTGGCCTGCAGTGGAATAAAACGTTTACCGCACATCACGCGACCGATCGTTGCAGCCTGCCTCAAGATACACGTACGCACCTCATGCGGACTTCCACTGCTAAAAGGTCGATCCGCCTCAGCGAATCAGAGGTCAGCGTCGACCTGTCCGCATTGATTGGTTCGTTGACTGCCCAACGTGATGGCCTACTCCTTTTGGTAACGGTTGCACCAGTTTGTGCCTGCCTGTCTGCGAATTGACGCACTGCTTGCTCACCGGCTACGTTTGCAATTACATACTGGAAATAGACTAACTACTTAATTCACTACTTGCGTACTTATTGACTTATACGGGATACAACATAGTCAAAGACTGTTCCAACTGATACGCAATACGGGAGGTCGGCGAATCACAGTTAGTGAAACAATCTGCCAAAAGGGGACAAGCTATTCACAATAAGGAACAAGGGCTTGACTGATGGGTGGAGTACTTCAACGAACAGTTCAGCTGGTTAGGTTTATACGAAACCCGTAATTATTGAGCTTCGATCGTGGTAACTGTGTCCAATGTGTCAGTGTTAATAAACTGATGATAGTAATGGGGTGCACTTCTGTGAACGGTTTTTATTACCTTTGGCCTGCTGATATATCCACTTCTCATGTACATAGTTCACTTTAAGTGAAGATACGGAAGGTGAGAATTAACTTTTTTGATTTATTTCAGGGCTTGTGAATGCAAAACAATATACCGTTTGTGTTACAATTGAGATTTTTACTCACAGGAGTATCGCACGGTTTGACGATACGAGCATATCGTTTTAACCTTAATCAATCAACATGCGGTGCAGCGTTAGACCTCCATACAGTCTCCTCTCCTAACCAAGCTTTTGCAACATCAATATTTGTGGAAATTAAAGTCTTTCAGCATTCGTTGATTTCAGAATATTCCGGCACTTTTTTATCTGACTCGCTTAAAGCGGTGTGACCCAATTTTGTGCGTCGAAACTAAAGAACTACGGGTCGTAGCCACAGCACTGTGGGTTTTGGTGTAGTGTTAATTTCAATCACCTCGTTGTGGACATCTGACGAATGAATTAGATTTGTATGGATCCTTCGATTATATTGTTTTAATAATATCATCTCCCTCTTTTACGGTAAATTCTACAGGCGATAAGTGTACCCATAGTTGAGAAGTAATGATTCACATATAAAGCCTACAATCGCGTAACAACGGTGGCCTTTGTCTGAACAGACTATTAACAAAAAGACAGTTGCTGAAGTTCATTCTTTTATGCCACGCACCAAACGAACCGATACAGATACCCAGTCACACCATCCGATGTCTCGAACCGTTAACCATACTATAGTCTCGAATTCCATCTACGGGCAATTTATCTGATACAATCTACATAACCAGGTCCATTTGAGGACCCAAACCATTTATGGAAACGTTTATACCTTTCATTTGCCCTCGGCCCTTTTCAAATCGTCGTGGTAAATAGTACTTTTGAGATCAACTCACCCACAGAAATACGGGGGAAACGACCAAAGGACTGTTCCCTACTCATTCGCGCAAAACGGCATCTCGGTCCACTTCATTCGTTCCCAAATCATTAGAGCACGTCATGCGGTAACTTGGTAATGATGTATACTTCCACATGATCTACCAATCACCCACTCACTGTTCAATGCGAGATGAAGACTATTTTGCGTCATTTCAACCCAAAAACAGTTAATGGAACATGGCCGGAAATTTGATCAGATGAATATGTGAATGTGAACGTAGCGTTTGAAGTGTACACCCGAACTCACTTGCGCATCCGGGTGATGGTTTGCTTGTGCGTTGTCCGGTCTGATTGAAGCGGTGCAGTGAGAGTATCCTCGTCCGAAACAAATGCCTCGTCTGTATTTACGAAAGTGAGCGAAAATCACAGATTGGTAACAGAACTAGCTCTTTCTCACCTACACACATACGCACGCACACACACAAACATACACACGTGAATAACCGCGATGACGAAGTTTTAGTGGAGTGGAGCAATAGCATTGTACGGCTAAAAGCAGAGTAAGCAGCTTGTAAATCCGTGCATCCATCAGTGCAAATCTCTTTCGCGTTATCTCCTCGACGGAAATAATTATCGGTACGTTAGACATTAGATTTGTTCATATTGATAGTAACATGTTAGTTACCAAAATAAAACAACATAATATGATGTTCGAAAATCCATCTACACCCTGAATTCTTACGTTCGTCGGTATCGAGCAAGAAAACTGATCAATAAGTAAAAAGGCTAGTTGATGAGTAAATAAGTTATTTGGTTAGTTAGTACGCGTGTGGGTAATTGTGTACGGATTCCGTGTACAATCCAATTGTTCCGTTGGATGAAGTAAACTGTATAACTTACTTAGCGACCTACGAACTTACCTACCTACTTACCCGCTTACTTACTTACTCACTTACTTGGCCACTTATTTCCTTACTTTCTTACTTACCTAATTAATTAACTACTTACTTACTTACTTGCTTACTTAATTAATTACTTGCCTACTTACTTACTTAACTAATTACTGGCCTACTACGAAATTAAACATTTTAATGACATGTGGCTAATAGAAGCAGTGACATAAGTGGCTATTATATCAGATATGTTGCGTCTGATGTGGGGCAATAGCATATTCATTGCCGTGAATGAGGCTGGAAAAACGAAGCATTGAGAAGAACAAATGTGATGAAAATCAGGATGTTGCACGGGTTCGGTCAATACCTGTACTTACCCACTTACTTACTTACTTACTTAACTACTTAACCACTTACTAGTTACTTGCTTACTTACTCATTTTAATAGCGCTTGCAAACTATACAACAAATGAATGCGATATAAATTGCGGTGATCAAAAATAAAGAGCACTGAACAGCTATTTCGTCCTGTTTGGGACGACTCTTCAGTAGGGCGTACCAAACCGGTTTCTTGGGGATCCTATTGGTTCACTAGTTCATCGGGTAACTAAATCTGTCAATGCTTACTTTCACAAGTAACGTTTCCCATTCTCAACACCCCCCCCCCTCTTATTACGTGCTTTTAGCCACCAAGCAGCTTCCTCCACTGAATATCTACTGAGGTTTGTCAACTCTAGGAAGAAAGGAAGTATTCTCTCTCCCATTGTCTACATTTTTTACTAAGTAATTAAGTAAGTCAGTGATTAAATATTAGTAAACCAACATCATTCAACCAGCAAGTGTCGACTCAACTTTAAAATCTGAAGTAAATGGAGGAATTCGAAAACAGTGTTACTGAGTGTTTACGGTCAACAGGGAGAAGTTCCTTTTCAATATTTTAATTCCTAATACCTAAATATAGACTGTTTCACGACTATTTAAAATGCATGATGAGCTAGGGAACTGATAGGATCCCAAGTGGATCTGTTTAGTTTGATGGGAAAATGAAGGGAGTCCCCGGGATCGTTACAGGAAGAAATAAGCTATCATCTTCCCGATCTTGATGATACGCATTCAGTGGGCGTAGTAATTAACTAAATAAAATATTTACATATTATTTAGCTTTCTTACTTATTGATCAGTTTTCTTGCTCGATACAGACAGACTTAGGAATTCAGGGTGTAAATGGGTTTTC